TATTATTTGATATTTCAAATACTACTTTTGTAATTAATAAAATGTAGAAAAATCTCCATCATTTTATGGTCAGAGAAAAAATCTTCAAATATTTTTCTATAAGGAGATTTTAATTTTGATTTCAAGGCAGTTGTGACAAACAGTGGCTTCTCATCTGTCTGAGTGGTTAAATAGTCTTGCCTAGATACAAGGATAGACCTCATAATCCCTTCAAGGTTGCTTCAATCTCTAGATTTCCTATAAGTAAGGTAAGCAATTAATCAGAAAAGCAGGCCTTTTTCTTGACATCCAGCAGGCTGATGGAGTTGTTGGACAAATTCCCAAAAATGAGGTGATCAGCCTTTTAGAAAATGGCTTCCCAGTATTCCTTGACTACTGTTTTCATTACTAAAAGTCTTTCTTTCTCTTTCTCTCTCTCTCCAACCAACCTGAACCCTGGCAGCTCAGCTTCAGCCAAAGAGCCAGGGGAAGCCCTGAGGCAGCTAAGTTCTGCACCACTGCCACTTACAATCTCAGCTTCAGACTTGGGAGGACAAATGCTGGAGAAATAAATAGCTCTCCTGTTATTAAATCATAGATTCCGGGGGTGGGGTGGGGTGGGCTGGAGGGGTCTGGCACCAATGCCACCTGCTACATGCTGGAGCTCAATTATACTGTTACATTCACTACTCCTGTCAAGGGACAGGCAGTGGAAGAGAGGGGCGCTGATATAACCTTTGGTTGCCTGGGAGAGCTGTTGGCAGCTGTGGTTTTTCTAAATTGGTAAGCTCTCCTTTGGAAAATCACCATTCCCTATCCTACTGATCTTTCCCACAGGAACAGCTGCATTTGCTCATCCTGGCTTTCACATTTTAATCTGGTTCTGAAGTTAAGCAGTGGACAAAGGACTTAGGAATCAGACACCCTCATTTAAGCCCTGAATGTTCAAGAGACTTCTACCCCATGAGGTCCAAAGAAAAACAGATTTAATGAAGTCACTTGCTGCTGGGAAACAAATGTGGAAACATTTATGCAGTTGTTTTTATTTATTCAACTATAAAGATTGCAGCAATTTTTGGATGGGTAACAGATTAACACTAATTATATTGCTATAAATTTGGTTCAGGATCGGACTAGGATTCAGGAAAAAGGAAGAACAACAACAAAAATCTTCAAACACTGAAACAAAGAAATACTTCCCCTGCCCTTCCCCCTTTTTAAAACTTTAATTAAATGCTACTTTCCCAAGGACTTCCCTGGACTGGTTTGCAGTCTAAGGTAATAGGAAACAAGGCTTTGGGCATTTTGAAGAAACAGCAGGTTAAGCTATGGTGCCAAGCAGGAGACTGAAACCCTGACCTGAGTGTCAATCTCAGGCGCATTCTAGGAGGAAAGGCAGATTATCAAATATTTTCTAGTGTTCTTTCCTTTTCACCAACTAAATTTCCCCTTCTCTGGCTAATTCAGTACAGCACATAATCCTCTCATTGCCTCTCCTGGTTACACCCTTTAGAGGGAGCCTGACAGGCATGTGTGGCTTCTGCCTGAAAAGGCAACAGGGCTAGCTCTGATCCATCTCCTTCTGAGAGCCTGAGCAGTAGGGGGGTGCAGAAGAAGCCTCTTCAGACAACTGAACAGCCTGCTGCCCTGGGAAGAAAACTGCTCCCCCTAGGGAAATCTGGCAACGGTTGCCTATGATTCCTGGTAGAAATGACCAATCAGAATCAATCGATATCAATGGGAAAGGTCAAGGGAAAAAAACAGCTTCCCCTCCAAAAATGGTAAAGAGGAAATGAGGAGAGAAGAAACCAAAAAAATCTAGAATGGCATAAAAAGTGATATATGTAAACTTCTTTTTGTTATTAAATCTAACTATAAGTTTCCTAAAGTCCAGTTACCAAGTTGAATTGTGTGGGATAGAGGCGAGAGGACAACTGAAATTTCCCTCAAGAGTTCACAGCTTCAGAATGAGAGGTCCTGGGTTTGCGCTGGGGGAGCCCCTTTTTGAATGAGGGCTTGGGTGGGCTGGGATCCATGCTGGCTCCAGTTCCGATGGTCCCTGAAGAGTGAGCCTGGCCCCATTCACTCGAGTTTCCCGGTGCCTGGGGCGGCACACTCTGATACCTGGAACCAGATGAATACCATGAGCTATTTCTGTAATGACCCACACTGTCATGTCGCCCTTGGTTCGTGGGGTCATTGGACTTTTGGCCGTGTGGCCTGTAGCCTTGTCCTCCTCGTCTGTTCCCTGGCAATACCTAAGGATAAAAGAATACAGTGTTCAAAGAACTCTGACATTATGGTACCCCATTAGTTCCAGTTCAGTTTATAGGAGCATTCTGACAGCATAATTGTGGTATTCCATGCATGGGTCTCAGTTCTCTTGAGTCACAGAATTCTGTCAGCCAATTCAACCTAGCCACTACATCAGGAATACTAAATCTTTCACTATTTTCCTCCCTGCCTTTCACCCCTAGGCTCTTCCTCCACTGAAGAGTTTACTTTTCTTTAGCTAAGAACAAGCTGAAAAAGGAAGAAATAACATTCTTTGGGTTGTTACAAGCCCTCAATTGGGCAAGTAACTTATCCCATGTATGAACTTTGCAGATCATAAGCCATTTGTAAAGATAATGAACATTTGAAATAATAAAATAAATATCATTATGATCTGCTTTGCTATATATCATGAACCACACATTAAATCATGCTGCTGTGACATGCAGTACAATTTCACATTACAACCCAGAAAGCTGATGGCATAGGATTTTTGTCATCCAATTCCCATGTAATACAGAATTACTGAAGAATTTCTGACAGCACTGCCTTGAATTGCTCTTGTGTATCTTTTTCAAACCAAGGAAAAGAAACTGTGGATAATCTTCAACTTTCTAGTGTTGGCTCCCGCCGCACCAGGTTCACGCTCTCTCCCTGACATGGTCTGTCTACATTGTGCTTCCAGGGAGGTGCTGCTTCAGACACACTCTGGGAACCTGCCACAGTGGTGCTTGTCTACCTCGAGATGGGCGTACAACGCCCAGTGTGACTAATCCTACGACAGCTAGGATCACTGCCAACATCAGAAAGTCAGCAGTCTTGGCAACAGGAAATCTAAACTGGCTGGTGGTGTGGAACATACATACCAAATGCTTTCTTTCTCTGGCACTAACTGGGGCTGGAGGGATTCAAAATAGGTGTGGAAGGGGAATAAAGAGAAGAACGTAATGTACTGAGCTGTCAGCATTCAAATTGTCACAATGTGGCAGCATTCTTCCTAACCACCTCAGCGTGGCAGGCAGGTTACCTTTCGATGAGGCTGGTAGGGCCGGCCACTGGAGTTTGCTATAACTGCGGGAGTCTCTCCAGGTGCTGAGTTTTTCTTGTTAGCACTTGTAAGGCTGGGAGCAGAGGCACAGGTAGAAGAGGAAGCAGCAGAGGCATCACATGAACTGCTTAAGGACACAGATGTAACTGAGCTACATCGAGACCGGGTAGAATAGCTGTTCTTTGGATGGGACACTGAAACAGAAATAGAGAAATATGTAGTCATAGGATGAAAGAGCATGAAGGGTAAGGATTTCCCTATTTCTCCATTTCGCAATGAGCAATTTAAGGTAAAAAAACTGTCTACTTGAGTAGTCCTAAAGAAAAGCTTATAAAATGGGTAACAAGAAGGAAAATTTCCCTTCTGTCCTCTTCCTCCACTCCCTCTCCAAGCCCCCGCTGCTTTGTAAAGGAACTCTTAGAGACAGGCCAACAGTTTAAGATCGGAGTGACCCATCCCCTTACCAACTAATGACTTCTTTGCATGTCCTACTACCTAAATTCCTGGCTATGGCTCCAGAGCTGACTAAGCCTAGGAACAACAGTATGGGCCGTATGTTCAGTTTCCTATGCAAGGAACACTCTAACGTACAGACTTTGCAAAGAAAGGAAAAGGTAAAGAGCTAAATCTTTTTAATTTGAATGAGGCATGGTATAAATAATCAGGGTTAGTTGATATGTACAGAACTAGTCTTTACAATAAACACGTATCTTTCTAAGATTCTTTCTGAAAAAATAATCCCAAATTCAAACTACTAATATATCTGAAAAATACTAACATTTTCAATTCAAATTTTCAGAATTCAATGGTTTAACACTGCCCCCTAGACTTTTTTCTTGGCTTTAAGCCTGGACTAATGTTGAGTTTGCAATCACTGCCCTAGGTCGAACATTTCACTTTTATACTGGGATGGAAAGAACCAAGGAGCTGAGTTTAAGGTTTGACTGGTGTTGTAACAAACTTTCACCTTAGAGGCACACCACCCCCCTTTTAAAATTATTTTTATTTTTCAATTACAGTTGACATTCAATATTTTATATTAGTTTCAGGTAAACCACGTAATGGACAGACATTTATATAATTTATGAAGTGATCCCCCACCCCACCCCCCTTTTGAAGCAAATAAGTACCTGTTATGTGCCAGGCAGAGCAGGTATTGTTATCTCCACTTTGGAGAGGAGTAAAATGAAGTTCCAAGAGGTCAGTGAGTCAAGGACTCAAACTTGGTCTGACTTCAGCCAGCGTCTCATGTTCTCTACACTACATATCACACACATCTCAACTCGACAGAGAATGATGAAAAACTATTATTGCAAATTTAGGGACCTAGAAAATATCCATCCTCAGGGCTCAAAACATATGCATCCACTGACTTCTTAAGGATCTCAGAGTTACTTTTCATAAAAACAAGAAAACAAACAAAAACACAAGAGACACTAAGGAAGAATCAGTGGAGAAGCCAACCAGCAATTCAGTCTCTAATTAATAGAGGGTGGTCTTCTCATCACCATCTCTAGTGCCCAAAATCTCTCACCATCTCACCTTGTCCAAAGGAATCAATGTTCTTCTTTAGGGTCTCTATGTCACACGTGAACCGGGCTACTCGTCCCAGATCCTCATCATATTTACGTTCACTAACAAAGTGCTGGAGAAAGGGGAAAGAAAAGCCTCCAGGTGAGACCAACAGTATACATGGAATCTACAGCTTGCTATGTATGGACAAAATACAGAATTAGTTTTCAATTGTCTTCTTTTTTCTGCTCAAAGTTTGCTAAATAGCCATATTACTACCAATGCTGGGTGACTGACAAAATTCAGTCATTTTCTTAAGAGCCCAAAGATAAGTCTATTAGGGAGCTTTATAAAATGCTGCATTATGGTAAAACCCACTAAGTATAATCAAAATAAACTGTGGAGAAAGGAGAAAGAATTTATAGTAGAGGGCCATCTTTCCACTACTGGCTACTCTCCACATCATTCCATTTTATACAGAAGCAGAGGCAGCAAAAATGCTCATAAGTTACAACAATGATTGCATTTAAATAGATGGTTTGGTGTTCATTAATGGGAACTTCCTTAGGAAACCCACTTCACATCTTTATAAAGTAGGATTTATTAGTCCTTGAAATAGGAACGATTTCTTGAGATGGAAAATCATTCATCTGAAAAGTCAACTTTACAAATGCTGCAAATAATTTAAACTTTTTAAGCAGACTGAGCTGAGAAGCAATCAACCCCTTGGGTCCAAAACTAACTATACTACAGAAACTGTGGGACTAGAAATATATCAGAAATAAAGTATTTCTGGAGGTCTATTTCAATAAGCAATTTCTAAGGTAGCCTGGAATCATTTTTTCAGATGAAAAAGTTAAAGGCCTAGATATAATTTCAAAGAATCGAACTCCTCAGAGCAGTCCTCTAACTGGGGATTTTTGGATTTTCAGGTGTAGAATTGAATGCATCAGAATCCTCAAGATGCATCTAGAAGCAGTGAAAGGGAAAGAAGGAATAAAAATTACCTCTGGGCCTTGAAGCCATAAAGCTTCAGAGTATATTGTGGCTTAGGAAAGCACATGAACCTTTGTAACAAAGCCTTCAGACATGTACTATTAGTCTGAGATTAATTCTGAAACAAATTTTAGAGTGTGTTGAGCCAAAGACATAACACGAATGACGGAAATAAAATGATGTGGAAATAAGACATTTAAATTGCATAGCACCCACTTCAGTACACTGAAAACATGGAGAGAAACAGATCCTTAGTCAGCCTGCAGAAATGTTTCCAGCAGCTTTTCAGCCACGTGGGAAGGGGAACAGATGAAGCCTTGTAACAGCCAGAAATCTTATCTAATTCCAAAGGGGCTTCTGGCTTCTCCCAGATAGCTGAATGAGACTGACTGGAATCAATGTGAGGAAGACTTCCTAAAAATTTAGTACTATAGTATCAGTTAATCAGAAAATGGTACTTTATAATTTGCATTGTTTTGCTATTCCACCCCAATAAAGTCTAAGGGGGAGGACTGAGAGAATAATAATGACCTAGGTTTGTATGAAAGACTGGGTCAGAATGATAACAAGGATGCCTTTAAGGGCTTAGATGATCTTCCATCTATGTTTTTATTTTACAAAGGCTGTTATATAGCCTCTGCAGTAAGTATTCCTCTTAAATGTGGCAATAAATCTCATGTATTCAGAAAGAACAGAGGTTAAGGGTTCAAGAATAGGGAAGGCCAACTCTCCTTGTTCATATAGTTTAGTTTATAAACAAATATTTAGAATACCAATGTCTACAACTATCCATGACTATCCCAACTTCTTCTAGATTCACATGCTTAGTCTCAGAAACGCTGTTCGTTAGGTAAGAATTTAAAATGTATGAGTGCTAAATCCAAGTAATCTTTATAAATAGATAACAATACGATCAACAACTCAAATTGCTCATTTTTCTCTATAAAATCAGAATCAACCAACCATTTAAATATTTACTGAACACCTACTATGTGCCAAGGTACTATGCTAGGCATTGGATACGCAGCAGTTCCTGCCATTGTAAAGTTCACAATCTAGTGTGAAAGACAGATTAATTAAATATACATGGAATATAACTGCTATGAGGTCACAAAATAGGGGGATATGAAAAGAAAATCAGGAAGAATGAGTTGGTCATGAGTGACTGTGTGTGCTGGGAGTAGCAGGGAGGAAAAAGAGTATTTTGGACAGATATAAAAGCATGTTTAGTAGCCCTCTAGCAGGAGAGAACAGGATACGTCTGTTGAAAGGACAAGTTAATATGGCGGAGTACACTGAACAAGGAGGGAATGGTGTGAAATGAAGGTGATGGCAGAGCCAGACTGTGCAGAGCCCTACATCCTGTGTTAAAGATTATAGTCTTTCTCCTAAAAGCAATGGAAAGTTTGAAGCAGGTTACTGTAGTGTGAGGAACAGTTTTGGAGGGAATGGGAGGGTGGGGTAATGGCAAAGTGGATGGGTGGAATCAGTGAACAGGTTATTACACAAGTCCAAGCAAGAGATAATAGTAACTTGATCACGATGGTAGTCGTGGAGCTGTAGAGAAAAGGTCTGATCTGAGATTCAGTAGGAAGTCAAATGGACATGGACATGGTCTGCTGAGAGAGTTCATGTAGGAAAGGAGAAATTTCCTAAGGTTTCCAGCTTGGACAACTGGATAGGAGGAGGGCCAGGTTTCGGAAGATCATGAGTTCAATATACTAGATATGGCCATGAATTATGGAGATTTGCTACTTTAGTCCCTGAGGGTAAGAAGAAAGGCAAAAAAGAAAAGGAAGCTTTACCTTGATATCAGCTCTGAGCTCAACCAATTGCTCCTCTGACATTCGAACAGCCACATCAGTCATCTTCTTTAGAAGTTCGGCTTTCTTTTGTCGGCTGAGCAAAATTTCCACTGCAGAGGAAAACGGAGTATAACTCTCATGTTCTGCTCAACAGGATAAAGAAAAGCTGGAAGTATGGGCCTTGCAGTATGTATGTGGACAGCCAAAGGCTTAGCTGCCCACCCATCCAGAAAATTAAAATACCAAAGGTCCAGTTTCCACCTTCTTGAAGGACTCTGAAGGCAGTTAAATGGTACACTTTTTATGAATCACAAAGATGCATAAATCATTTGTCATTTCTTTCTCCTCTACCCAGTCAAAAACATTTTTTTTATCAAGAAGTATGTAAATTAAAACAGAAATATGCACACATGGTAAAAAAGAATATTCACCTAGAATAAATGAGTGTGAAATGAAGCGCCCCCTCCTTCCTCCTTCTGACTTTGTGGTCCCCTCACCAAAGGAAACCACTGTTAACAATATCTTATGTACACTCCGAAGTATGTTCTATGAACATACAACACATATCTCTCTCCCTTTTTTCTTTCCTCACACATGGGAGTATATCATCTACATGGTCCTTCCTTTACCTTAGCTATTTTTACTTAATATACCTTAAAGTTCAATTCCTATTAACATTGGACCGCCCTCGCTGTTTAACAGCCACCTAATACTCTACTGTGTGGATATACCACAATTATTTACCAAGTTCCTTGATGGATAGTTAGGTTGTTTATAGCCTTTTAAGAAGCATCTTCTTTGGCATGCTCTCAGATGTATAACTCATATATGACCATGGAGGACAACAAACAAGTAAAAAAAAAACCTCTCCGAGTCGAGAGTCAGGGGCCACAGAGGACACGGGCAAAAGGAATCCTCAGCGGGAACAGAAGTAGGGGCTGCCAGATGAACCAAGGGGCCTTCTGTTCCACCAGGGCAAGGACTCGGCTATTTCTGTCCAGTGAGATTTGATCACTGCTTTCCAAGAGGGAAGTTTTACAATAATTCTCTCTTCTTTCCCTATCTATTTAATATTGGAAGAGGGGGCATTTAACTTTTCTTTCAGTTTATGGCACCCCTTGACCACATTGCACCATATCCAGAACTGTTTTAAGATCGGAAATTCCCCAGAAGTCCTGGACTTTGAGATGAATATATTAACTAGCTGAGACTTTGGAAGTGACGCTATTGAAGAGGAGGTGAGTGTGTTCTCATTTTGGAAAAAAGAAGGATGTTGGGTAGCTGAGGGGTAGACTGTAGCAAAGGCTGTTAGCGACTGCACATCCATGCTCTTCTTTCTATCAGGAGTCCAATGATGTTGGGTACCAACCTGCTTAGGTAAAAAGCTACATTTCCTGGCTTAGCTATAAGATAAGAAAGTCATGTGATACAGTCCAGCCACTGAGATCTAAGCACAGCTCACAGGAGGTTTACAGCAAAGCTCTTTAAAGGAGTCTTAGCGGACATGTAACATTTTGTCCCTCCTCGTCTGAAGCCTTAGGAAATGTCTTTGATCATAAACACACTCCAAGGATGGCTGGGTAGAAGGATAGAGAAGCCTGGGTTCCTGGTGTCATTTTGGAGATGCCCTTCAACTCTGGATCACTTACCTCTGGACTGTTCATTTCATGAGAGAAAAATAAACACATTTATTTAGGCCACTCTGTTGCATGCAGTCAAACTCAATTCCTAACTGTTATACATAGAATCCTGTAACCTTCTGCGAAATTAGCCAAATTTATGTCAGAAAAAAGAATTTTCAAAGAGCTACCTTAGGTATTAAAGAGACCTGAGCCTCCATAGCAAGTTTACTTAGCCTGATTGGCACATATATGCCACCCACAGGTTGTCCATACCCATGTCAGGTTAATCAGTAAGGACACACTTTCCCAATAAGTTAAGAATGTGTCTACGAAAGTTTCTCTACACCAAGGCCCAACAGCTACAAGTGATCTATTGGTCTGGTTCCCAAGATAAAAAACCTATTTGCCATTTGTATCAAATTCACTTTCTCTCAGTTCCAGCGTTCTAGGATTCTAAGACAAAATTATAGATCTCAATATGGAGAAAATGTGTCAAGTAAAGATTTCTACACATATCATATTAACTCAAAGAACCTAGTTATATGACTTTGGACAAGTCACATTTTTTCCCAAAGACCTAGTTCCTTCATTTATGAAATTAAAGCAAACAAAAAAAGGAAACCCTAACTACCTCATAAAGTTGACATGAAGATCACATATGAATGAGTGAAAAAACTATGAAGTGCTATGAACATATAAATTAATAAAACTACCATGTATAGAAAAGAAAAAAAAGCACCTTCTTGACAGTACTGGTAAATGAGTGATTACATTTGTATCACTGAGAACCAGGATATTTTGCACGGGAGAAGGAGATACAGATATAAAATTGATGAAGTTAAGTAAAACTGTAGCTCTGAATTTGATAAAAGAAAACTGGCCCATGAATTGATAATTGATTGAAACTGAGTGGTGGGGGTTAATTATATTAGCCTTTCTATTTGAAATATGTTAAAAGTAAGGACTATGTCTTCTTACTAGATCTATTTTATCTGAACCTTCATCCTCAAAAATAACACACAGGACTAAAATAACATACATGGACTAAAACTGTCACATTTAGAAATTTCAGGATATGCCACTCAATTTAAATGAAATCTGACCTCTGAA